TACCCCCACCCCGCTGGCGTGCAGCGTACCACTCACGGAGCTGCTGAGGGGGGGGGATGTCACGAGTGCGCTGCTGCCGCTGCTGCTGCTGCTGCTGGCGCTGACCACCACCGGAGCCGACCCTCTGCGCAGCGCCACCCCGACCAGCTCCACCTCCTCCGCCGCCGCCTCCTCCACCGCCGCCACCTCCGCCACCTCCGCTCCCACCGCCACCGCCGCCGCCGCCTCCGCCTCCACTGCCGCCACCGACACCTCCACCCCCGCCACCACTCCCACCACCACCGCCACCCCCTCCACTGCCGCCACCGCCACCTCCGCCACCCCCGCCAGCCCCTCCAGCACCCTTGCCCCCCTTGCCCTTGCCGGGGCGGCGTCTCCCGCTCAGGGTAGACGCAGCGCCGACCGACTCGAAACCAACGAGGTCGGCCGCAGCAGCAGAGGCAACAGAGGGCAAAAGGGGGGAGGGGGAACACCCCTCAAAGACGGGGGTGCGAGGGTCACCACGAGAGGCTCCTACAGCGACTATGATCTTCTCTGCTGCTAGGAGGGCCTTCTCGAGGAGGTCAACGGTGAGAGTGGTGGGGCAAACTGAGAGGAAGTGGTCCCTGACTACGCGAAGGGAGTCAGGGAGCCGGGTGACTATGTATTAGAGGGTGATGTACATGGGGGGGGGGTTCTTGGCGTAGAACTCAGCAGGAAGCGCAGCGCGGTAGTGAGTGTCACTAGTGCGGAGGTGCGTAATGAGGTCAGCGACTGTGGGAAAGGCAGCAAGGTCAGGGAAGAGGTACGGTAGCATGAGGCGGCTCAGTGCAGCAGTGGCAGGGGAGGAGTAGCGCGCAACTACAGCGTCGTACAAGGTCTGAGCACTCTTGTACTGGCTAAAGTGCGCACGCTCAGAGGTAGGCAGGTGGCGACGCACAGCAAGACGTGCAGCAGCATCGCGTGTGGCCCACTGTGAGCGAACAGTGGCGTCGGCATCAGCAGCAGGGGCAGGAGAGGCACCAGAGGTGAGGTCAAAGAGGGAGAGACCGTCTGCCCTATCGCACTGTAAGAAAGGCTGCAGGTCATCTATCCAGACGTCAAAGTCAATGGCCCGACCCTCAGCGTCAAAGGCGAGGACACTAGGGGTAGCCATGACAGCAGTAGACTAGCAGCGCGAACAGTAGGGTAAGGGCAGTGCAGTGATAGAGGCGCTGCTCTTACCGGACAGGGCGGCTCGGGCGGCTCGGCGGCTCGGCGGCTCGGCAGTACGGCGGCTCGGCGACTCGGCGGCTCGGGCGGCTCGGCGGCTCGGGCGGCTCGGCGGCTCGGGCGGCTCGGGCGACTCGGCGGCTCGGGCGGCTCTGGCGGCTCGGGCGGCTCGGCGACTCGGCGGTCCGGGCGGCTCGGCGGTCGGCTGCTGGGCGGTTCGGCGGCTCGGCGGCTCGGCTGCTGGGCGGCTCGGCGGCTCGGCTGCTGGGCGGCGCGGCGGCTCGGTTGCTCGGCTGCTGGGCGGCTCGGCGGCTGGTGTGGCTGGTGACGACCGCGGCAGCAGTCGCAGAAGCTGTGGCGACTGCTGCTGCAGAGACGGCGGCGGCTGCTGCCTCAGAGACGGGGGCGGCCGGCCGCTAGGGGCCGCGAAGGGCGGCGGAGAGGCCGTGAAGGGCCACGAGGGGCCGCCGAGGGCGGCGACGGGCGGTGAGGAGGCCGCGGAAGGCGGCTCGAAGGGCCGCGAGGGGGGGGGCCTGAAGGGGCCGACGGGCAGCGGGAGGGGCCGAAGGGGCCGTAAGGGGCGACTCGCTGGGCCGTAAGGGCGGCGTTAGGAGCCGTAAGGGCGGCACGAGGGGCCGTAAGGGCGGCGCGACGGGCCGTAAGGGCGGCGCGACGGGCCGTAAGGGCGGCGCGACGGGCCGTAAGGGCGGCACTAGGGAGCCGGGAGAGGGCCGCTAAGGGCGACGCGACGGGGCCGTGAGGGGCCTAGCGAGGGCGCAACGGTAGGGAGAGCACACAGGGCGCGACTCGGGCCGGAGCGAAGCGCGCTCCGGGCAGGAAAAAAAATTTCGTGGTGGTGGGCCCTAGGAATCGTTCCCACTAGGGAACCTGCTCGATACCATGAGAAGAAACGAGGAATGAGATTGACTAAGGGAAAGTTGGGTACAAATGTGAACCCTAGAAAACTGTACCCCATATGTGCTACCCCGCTATAGCCTACAGTAGCTATGTCATATAAATCTGACACCGTCGTCCAGTCGATCGTCGGATTGAAACGCTGTAGCCAATCTCGTCCCAGCAGCATATCGCAACCGTCCAGTGTTGTCGCCAGCATTCGCATTGAAAACCCGAAATCGTCGCCACACTTCATCCGAATTTGTCGGACCTCGTCTTTTATCGCCAGCGGTGTCCCGTCCACCAGTCGCGCGTCAATCTCGGGCAGACACCTGTCCAGTTTGACCCCTATTTTTTTGGCCGTTGCCAGGTTGACGAGACTGTGGCTCGCCCCACCGTCAACGAATAATTTTATTTTATAGCCGTTAACCCTCCCCACGACCAGCACAGGGTGATCCACGTGTTCATCCACCTTATTCGTCCGGTTGCGGTCGATAGCCCGTATCGGTACCACCACTCGGTGTGGATGTTGATTGCCGGGCGACGAGGTCTCGTCAGTAGGTGGCCCGACTGCTACTGACTCGTCTCTTTTCCCGACCCCTCTCCGTCGTTCCTGTTTCCCTGTTTCAGCTTCGGGCAGTCCTTCCTCCAGTGGCCCGGTTGGTTGCAGTTGAAGCACGTGTTAGGTCCACGTCTCGGTGCATCCACCCCGTTGATTGTGGGCTGGCGCGGCGGTCCACGAAATTGAGTGCCCTCCCGGGAACTCATTCTCGCCCATTGCATCAGCGCATCCGTTGATTCAGCCACCTGGACGGCATCGAGAAAACCGCGTGGCCTCGCCCGTCGCACCTCGTACTGTACTTCGTACTTGAGGCCTGCGACATATCGGTCGAGTCGTTCCGCGTCGCTCATATCGTCCACTTGGTCAGCCAAATTGCAGAATGTTGCCGTGTAATCTTGGACCGACGCCACCTGCTTCCAGGTGCGCAGCTTCATGCGAGCAGAATCCGAGGCGGATACATGCTCGAATCTGGTTCGCAGCGCGGCGCCCCACTCCGTCCATGTGCGTATCGTGGCCACTCCGAAGATTGAAGTTGCCTGTTGCGTGACAGTTGTCCAGGTCCCGTCGTTCGCACGTGACATCCCTGCCGGAGTCCCCCCTGTCTGAAGAGTCCGCTTCCACCACTCCAACGCCGGCCCTCGTAACAGTGACACTGCAAAATTAATGCGGGTAGCATCGTCAGCAATTTGCGCAGCATTGAAAAACACCTCCACTCCGAACAACCATGCCGACACAGTGACGGTTTTGTCGCTGGGGTTGAACGGGGGTGGGTTCGTCGGTTTTTTTTTAACAGTTGTTGAGACTGTTGCTGCTGCATGCATCGGGGGCGCCACTGAGGCCATCACCGGGGTTGTCGCTGTTGCCTGACGTGGTGTAGTCTGCGACTGTTGCCTCGGCGCCGCTCGTGTTTGTTGCTGCGGCTGTGACTGTTGCCCCTGCGTCCCTTGTGCTTGTTGCATCCGTGCCGTCCACTCATCTTCAGCGTCCAGCGAGTCTTGTAGCTCGCTAAGGACCTCGTCGTTAGGCGCGAAGCTGCTACTTGCTTCATCCACGGCGGCCGACCCCTGACGCGCTTCAACTCGCGTCTGGCGTAGCTCGGCGTTTTCCACCCTCAGGCGCTCCAACTCGCCAGACATAGTCTGCATGTTGGATTGCATCGCCCGAAAGTCCTGCAAAAACACGTCAAACTCTGCTTGTGTCATGTTTCGGAGACTCATCCTAGCGGGCAGCGGGTTAACAGCGATTTTTATGGTTTTGATGAAGGCGCAAACGCTATTAGTCGGAGCGAGATAATCGTATCTATCTCTCAGCCGACCGCTTTGCAGCCCACCAAACCTATCGCACCCCTGCACTAAAACTACCCCGGAAAGTGGAGGGTAACCTAGGAAAGTAGCTCTGATACCAAGTGTTATGAGTTGTATGAAAGAAGAGTGCGCAGAATGCAATATCGCGGAAGTGATTACAACTACTGAGCAAACAACGAGGCCTAGGTATAATATAGCACAGCTAGCTAGGCCGAGGTCGCGGAGTCGCGCGAAGGTTGGGTGCAGGTTTGGGGTTGGGAAACCCGAGGGCGACGCGGGAGACGTTCGGAAGGCGAGGTCGTCGGACCGAGCCTGAATTCCGAAAGTTGGAATTGTACGCGTAAGAGATGCCTCAGTAAGGAATTAGCGAAATTCCTTACAAATGGCCTAGTATAGATGTTATAAGCCAAAAACAAAGGGTGTGGTCGTTTCCCAATGGTATGCTACACACACACACGCAACATGAGCACTCGGCAACAGGCCGCCTCTTTCGTCTTCCACGCGTGACTTTCGCATAACTGTACAATCTTTCGCATGTCTGAACCGCCTGACGTTGCTCCCGCCTGACGTTGCTCCCGCCTGACGTTGCTCCCGCCTGACGTTGCTCCCGTCTACCATGTCGTCAAAATTGGACGAGCAGCCGCTCCAAAAGGTACGTGCGAGCTAATCAAATCGGAAATCCGTTGCGGTCGCATCAGAAACGCGGATGACGATTTATCGAGTTCCTTAGTGCCACTCTTAGGCTTTCCCGGTGTTCTCTGTTCACACTGTGTCTTTACACTGGTCGTCTCTTTCTGGGGTTTGCAATAATCCTCATCGCGCTCATCACTTCCCCCCTATCTTCCCCTCACAATCCCTCCTACCCCACCGCACACTCTCCCGCACTCTCCATGCGCAATCTCGCTTAGGGTGACCGAGGCGCCCCATTCGAAAGCCTCCTTTCTAACCTTCCCGCCCTTCCCCCTTCCCCTCTTTCTCCTCCCCGTTCCCTCCCCAACCCCCGTCCCTTTTCTCCGTCTCCCGCCTTTCCCCCTCCCCCCGCGGTGCAGTGTACCGCGCGCTGCTGGCGGAGCTGATCAGGCGCCTGGGGGGGCGGTACAGCGCCGACCTCACCCCGCACTGCACCCACCTCCTCGTCGCAATATCCCCCTCCCCGCCCTCCTACCCCCTACCCGGCCCTCCTCCTCCCTACCCGCCCTTCCCCTCCCCTCCTCCCCCCTACCCCCCCTCCTCCCCCCTACCCCCCCTCCTCCCCCCTACCCCCCCTCCTCTCCCCTACCCGCCCTCCCCTCCCCTAACCGGCCTCCTCCCCCCTGCCCGCCCTCCTCCCCCTTCCCTGACCTCCTCCCCTCTCCCCGCCCTCCTCGCCCCTCCCCCCCTTCCCCCTCGTTCCCTTGCGCTCCTTGCTCCTCGCCTTCGTGCCCCTTCCTCAATCCCACCGCCTTAGGGGGGTATTGCACTCCGCACGTGCGCCTGACAGCAACCTGTACCCGTGTGCCCTCTCCTGCCTACTCCTAGAGTGCACAGCTCCTCCCTTCTAACTCTTCAGACCTTTCTGCTCCGGGCTTCGATCTTATGGAGTTGGATGTTTCTGGTTTCCAGTGTTATTCTTGTCTCAGTTTGTTTGTGATGTTGTCTTATCCAGAATGCCCCAACTGTGCATTTTTCTCCGTTTCTCGCCATAGCATGTCCTTAACTGACCAACTGCATCTGCATGAACCCCCTGCCCTCTGCCCCCTGCCGTTTCCTCCTAGTTGCGTGGGATGCCTCTGCATCTGCATGAACCACACCAACCCCCTTCCCTCGTTTTCCCCTCACCCTCTTTCCCTCCATCTTGCGTCTCTCCCTCCCCTTCCATCTCCGAGTCTCTCTTCCGTTCTTTCTCTTGCGCTCTCCTCGCCCCTCTTATCCATCACCATCGCCATCACCACCACCACACGCCATCGGGTCCCAAGGTGGCCTATGCTCTAGCCCACGCCTCGCACCTGCCCCTCCGCCTTGTCTCCCTGCCCTGGCTCTCTGCCTCCATTGCTGCTGGCGGTACGTGCAGTGCAGTGGGGAAAGGGAGAGAAGAGAGAGGGGGGGGGGGGGGGAGGGAGAAGAATTTGGGAATGGTGCGCCTTGTCTCCCTGCCCTGGCTCTCCGCCTCCATTGCTGCTGGCGGTACGTGCACTGGTGAGGGACAGGATTGGGGGGAAGGGAGGGGGTGTGGGGGGGAAGGGGAGGGAGACTTTTGAAGCACCTCAGAAGATCTCTCCGCCTACTCCATGTGCTGTGCTCCCCCCCTTCCCCTCTCTCCAGTTCGCCTGCCAGAGCACATCTTTTTCCCCTGCTTCAAACAGCTGCCAGAGAAAGCACATTTGAGGCGCTTTTGATGTGCCTCGTAGTACTTTTTGCCTGCTCATTGCGCTGTGCTGCGTCCCCCCCCCCCCCTCTCCCCCTCCAGTTCGCCTGCCAGAGCACATCTTCTTTCCCTGCTTCAAACAGCTGCCTGCGCTTGTAGGGGGGCCGGGGGGAGGGGAGAGAGAGGGGAGAGCGGGAGAAGGAAGAGGTGGTGGGGGAGTAAGAGAGGGAGGAGAGGGTGGGGAAGTGGGAGAGGAAGTGCGAGGAGAAGGGAGGCAGGGCTTTGGTTTGTTAGAAAGGGAGCAGTGGATAGAACGTGGGGTGGAATGGAAGGAGTCTGGGAAAGGGGCGGAAGGGGAGGGAGAGGAGGATGAGGAGGAGGAGGTTGGGGAGGAGGATGTGGGATTGGAGACAGAGGGAAGGGAGCGGGAAAGGGTAGGAGTGGTGAGAGGAGTAGTGGGACCACATTCTGAGTGTGTGGAGTGTGATGGGGAAGGGATAGTGCAGAGGGAGATGATGCAACGAGCAGCAAGGCATGAAGAGATCAGAAGTGAGAGGTGCGGTGTGGAAGCAGGAGGTTTGGACAGCCGAGAAGCGGCCTCAGCAGGCCATGGGGGGTTGGAGGCGAGAGGGGCGCATGTGCTTCGCTGTGCGGAAAGGACTTGCAGTCATGCAGAAGCATGCAGTGCCACTGCAAGTGCACTGCTGGGCACCTATGGCAATCTGGTCTCGGTCTCCCGTGACACACGTGACAGCCGTGACCGCGAAGCATGCAGGACCGTTGTAACCGCTCTGCATGACTTGCCACAACGCCTTCCCACAGCTCGGACCAGAGTTTCTGACGCAGCAGAATGTGATTCAGCAGAATGTGTTGACGCAGCAGAAGGCAATTCAGCAGAAGTTGACGCAGGAGACAGTGACTCAGCAGAATGTGACTGTGACGCAGAACGAAACTCATCAGAACGTGACTCAGAAGAAGTTGACGCAAGAGAAGGTGACTCAGCAGCACTTCGGTTGACTTGGAAGGAAAAGGAGCGCGACGCTCGGGAGAATCACAAACAGCAGCGAGACTCACAGGACCGGCTGAGATCTGATTCCTTGCAGGAGTTTGCAGAAAGAGAGGTGCCTTTTGACGAAGCAGACAGCCAGGTTCGGAGCGAGTGGCTCGGAAGTGGTTCCGAGCCTCCGGGAGCAGGCTTGGAGAGCCTTGGGCTGGTTAGCGAGGCACAGGATACGGTTGAGATGGGTGGTAATGAGTGGAGAGAGGAGACGGGATATGCAGCAGCCGAGGTGGTGCGAGAGACAGAGAGGGTGGTAGATGAAGGATCAGGTGGGTTGGACGATGGGGGGGATCTACGAGACGTGATTGCATTGGGTGATGTCTCAGGGCCTGGGCCTATCTCGCCTGGTGAGATGCTACTGGCTGCTGCTCATGCTGATTCCGGTGCTGCATTTGTGCACGCTGGCAATGACATCCCTGACATGCTCCACACTCCAACATCCCATCTCTCCTCACAGCTCCCTCCTGTCATTTCCTTTCCTCCTGCTGTCACTGTGTTGCCAGCCACAGCCCTCACTCGCTCCCCTCCTCCTCATCCGCCTTCTCATCCGCATACTCTCGAGCTGCTACCTGCCGAACCTCGGCCCTCCATGCCTCAGGACTTGGTTCGGCAGCAGTCCAAACCAGGGTCGTGCAAGGTGAGAGAGTGTGCACTGCCTGAGGTCTGGTGGGAGAGCAGCAACATACACGATCTCTGCTGCTGCACAAGTTGCTGCTACAGCTGCTCCGCCGCCTGCCCCCACTCCTGCTCCTCTTCCTGCTCCTGCAGCTGCAGCAGCGGAGGCGGCGGCAGCAGCAGCAGGGAGAGGGTGAGCGGCAGCAGCGGCGGCATTGAGATGCCCTGGGCGTGGGGGTGCGTGCGTTGGGAGAGGCGAGTGGAGGCAATGGAGCAAGCCAAGGGGCTTGTGCGGGCGCGCAGGGGTGGACAGCGACAGGTATGCACTGCACTGCTGGAGTGCTGCTTGTGCTGAGAGAGAGTTCTTCAAAGCCTTATGCTGCTTCAAGTGCTTGCTGTTGCTGCTGCCACCGCTGCTGCTGCTGCCGCTGCAACTTGCATGGCACTTCTGAGAGTTCTCATAAGTGACTTGCATGGCATTGCGTGCATAGCCTGCACTCCTGTCCCACCTGCTCCTCCCCACCACACCTGCCCTACTTACTCCTTCCCAAACCAAGGAGCAGAAACACGCACGTGTCAAGGATAGATCTTCTCCACACCTGCCCCACCTTCCCCTTCCCCCTGCCCCTTCTCACCTGCCACTCCCCCATCTCCCCCTCCCCCAACTCCCCCTCCCACCTTTCCTCCCCCTCCCACCTTTCCTCCCCCTCCCACTCCTCTCCAGCCTGCCAGCTCGCTACCCCGCCCTCCAGCCCCCTCAGTCCTCCTGGACGATCTGGCTTGGAGTGTGTCCGAGCCTCCCACCGAGGCTCGGATGCTGGGAAGTCTGGTTTCAGGAGGTGTGGAGGAAGTGGGGATGGGGGAAGGGCATGGTAGTGACGGTGCTGCCGGTGCTGCCGGTGCTGGTGGAAGTTGTGCTTCTGTTGGGACCAGGATGCATCACAGGTGCACTTCTCTTCTCACCCCTCCCTTGCTTCCCTCCTCTGCCTCTTCTCCTCTTCTTATCTTGCTGCCACTCCCTCTCATGTTTCCTTCCCTTCCCTTTCCCTCCTTTCTCTTTTCGCCTCCCTTCCTCCCTCTTCACTTCTCCTCCTCTTCTCGCTTTCCTTCCTCTCTCTTTCCATCCCTTCCTCTCTCTTTCCCTCCTTCCTCTCTCTTTCCATCCCTTTCTCTCTCTCCCCTCCCTTCCATTTTCTTGTCTCAATTGTACATGAAATACTCGCCGTTCCATCCACCTCCCATTGGCATGCCTTTTCCACCCTTTCGACTAGCACACTTTCAAAACCCAATGCCCTCCTCTTCTCTTCAAACCCTTTCCTCTCTCCCATACTTGCCATGCATCCTCTTCCCAACTCCAACCCCCTCTCTCCCCTGCTTCCACACCTCTCCCCCCTACCCACCTTCTCTCAGCCAGCTATGCATAACCCCGTCTGTGTGATTCGTCACGTTTGTGCCTAGAACATCCTCTCCCTTCCTTCCCCCTTTTTGCCCCTCCTCGCCCCTGTAAACCCTCCTTACCCCTCCTTGCCCCCTTTTCCCTCCTGCCCCCTTTGCCCTCCTGCCCCCTTTGCCTCCCATTGCCTCCCATTGCCCTCCTGTCCCCCCTCGCAGCCAGCTATCAGCGCTCCTCTACCCGCACGCATTCCTCACGCTGCTCTTCCCTCTCGACGTGTACTCCGAGGTTGCCCCCTCCGCCCGCTCCTACTTCTCCCCTGCGGGCTTCTCCTCGCTGCGCCTCCTCTCCCTCGTGTATTCCTTCTACCAGGCGAGTCCTCTGGGGGCATGGGATGGGGCAGGCATGGGGTGGGGCATGGGGTGGGGGCATGGGTTGGGGGATGGGGTTGGGGATGTAATGGGGCATGGGATTGGGGATGGGATGGGGCATGGAATTGGGGATGGGATTGGGGGTCATGGGATGGGGAATGGGATTGGTGGTCGTGGGATGGGGATGGCACAGCATCGATTGCCTAAGCTGTTTCAAATCTTCCTCACGTGCATCCCCAACCCCACTGCGCCACTCTCCACCTCTCTGCGCCTCTCTCCCTCCCCACTACACCCCTCGCTCCCCCATCTCATCTGCCCTGCACCACTGCGTGTGTGGGTGCAGGCGATCTTTACCACAGCCAAGGTATCCATATGTGTGCTCTCTGACGTTCTGTTTCCATAGGTATCCATAGGTTTCCCAACCTTTTGTCTCCCTCCCCTGTGCTGCTGCCTGTGCGGGTTCCTCTGCCGCTGCCTGTGCTGCTGTGGAGGAGCCCATAACCACACACCAGGTGTATTCTCTTTGTCTTCTCAGGCAGGGTTTCTTTCTTTCTTTCTTTTTCTCAGAAACCCACCGCATGCCCCCCTCCCCTCCGCTACTGCCTGTGTGTGTGCAGGAGCGCTTGACCACACACGAGGTGTCCCTATGTGTGCTCTCAGACTCTCGCCATGCCGAAGCACTCCGATCCTCACTCGCTGCCTGCCCACCCGCACATGCCACCGCCACTCCCCCTGCCGATCCACCTCCTGCCACCGCCTCTACTGCTGCCCAAGCTCCTCCTGCCACGGCCTCTGCTTCCTCTCCTGCTGCTGCTGCTGCTGCTGCTGCTGCTGCTGCTGCTGCTGCCACTCCTCCTGCTGCCACAGCAGCAGCACCAGCACCTGCCACTGCAGCCTTAACTGCTGGGACCATCATCCCTCTGTCCACCCCGCCTCCTCCGCCCTCATCTGCCTTGCAACCACAAGGTCCCACTGTTTGGGTGCCCCCTCTGCGTATAACTTTCCTCGGATCCAGGCTGCATTTTGAGGGGCTGAAGCGGGTTTCACGGGATGGTTTCGGGCAGGTTTATGAGGTGTGCTTGGGCAGGTGAAGAAGGTGCAGAGTGCTGGGGAGCAGGTGCTTGTTGTTCATCTCATCTCAGCCCAACAGACATGTTTAAATTTTTGTTTGGTACACGTAGTGTGGTACCACCGGTATGCCAGTTTCTCTGTTAAAAAGGTAGTGTCATTCTCTTGAGTAACCCTACATGCAATGCCAGGTTTTCCGAGCTTGACACTCAGAGGCAGCACATGCTTTCGAATCCAATAATCAGTCACCAGAAGGTGGTCTGTTCTGTGTGACAACCAAGTGTAATACTCATAAGGTACAGTCATGATAACAATCTGCATTGAGAAAGTTGCACAATTCAATCATTTGTATTGGCGGAAAATACTATGCAATACCGTACATGTTGCTGCGGGAGAGGGGGAGCTTCTTCCTCCCATAATAGCCACTGCGTCTCATTTCCTCGTCTCGCCCTCCATATTTTTTCCTCCCTCCCCTCTTCCCTCTCCTCTCCCTCTCCTCCATCTCATGAACCTACCATCCTCCTCTCCCATTCAGACTGCTACTGCTCCCACGTCTGCCCCTCCAGCTCCTCCCCCTGAATATATACCCCTCCCTGCCTTTGCACTTCCTGCCCCCCTTGTTGCCCTTGCCCCCCCTGCTCCCCCTGCCCCCCCTGCACCTCCTGCCGACTCTGCTGCTCCTGCTTCTCGTCCGTCTCTCCCTCTGCTTTCTCAAGATCCCGCTGCACCTGAATCCCATGCCATTTCCTTCTCCCCTCTCGCACATCATCCTCCTGCCCGCCTTCCTTCCGCATTCCCTCTTCCTCCACCTCTTTCCCTTTCCCTTCCTCCCCTTCTCCCTGTCTCCCTCTCTCGTCCTCCCCCTCGTGCTTCTCACCTCCCTCTTCCTCTCCCTCGCACCCCATCTGCTGCACCAACCCCCTTCTCTGCTGAACCCCCACAGCCACACGGGCAGCAACCACCTCTCTCTGTCTCCTCGCAGGGCTACCTTTCTCCAGCAGTACAGGAAGAGGCCAGTGGGTTGCCATAAACTCTAAGTCACTTGCACCTTCCTCCGCCCTCCGCCCTCTCTCCGCCCTCTCCCCTCTCCCACCCACTCCTCTCTCCCGGCCCTCCCTCCCCCCAACCTCGACTTGATCAAGGGTACGGGTGGGTGCAGAGCGGTGCTTGGACAACGCCCTACTGCCCCGTGCCACAATCGCTCTCCGAGCGCTTGCATCGTTATACCTCCCTCGGGAATCCCCACCCGCTCCTCTTCTTCTCCCATGCCCCGCACTGGGACCAGGAGGGGGGGTAAGAGAAGATGCAGCAGCAGCAGCAGCAGTGGTAGCACCATCGGGTTGGGAGAAGGAAGGGGAGTCGAACCCATCAGAGGAGAACCCATCACTGCTATCATCGTCTCTTGCATAGGCACCTGCGCCATTGTCACTTCCACTGTCACTGTCACTGCCCACCCTCCCCTCACTCACTCTCCGAAGGTCCCTACCCCTGCTGCCACCACCACCACCACCACCTCCTCCTCCTCTCGCTCCTCCGCTGTTTCTCCAAGTGCTCCTGTCTCCCCTGCTCCCTGCATGACTCGCCGTGGCGGGACGGCGGCGGGAGGAGGAGGAGGCTAAGGCACCACTCACAGAGCGAGAGGAAGGGAAGGAGGCAATCGGCGGGCGAGCAGACGAAACAGTAGGAGCAGGAGCAGCAGCGGCGGCGGAGGCAGCGGCAGAGGGAGGGGACAAGGATGGAGGGGTGGTGCAAGCATCAGCAAAGGAGAGAGTCTGTGCAACGACGCGAGAGCCTAGCGATCGCCGGGCTGCAGCAGGATCGGTGGCAGGGGAAGGGGAAGAGGGAGAGGCGGCAGAGATGCTAGCAGGAGTAAAGAGAGCTATGCTTGCTGATTCGGATGGAGCGGTGGTTGGTGCGCTGGTGGTGGGACATGAGCTGATGCGGGGTACAGGTTTAGAGGCAGAGGGAGCAGCAGGAGGGGAGGTGACAGAGGCACCAGCAGCAGGTGGGTGAAGCGGAGGGGGCAGGTGAGGGGCTGGAGAGACTGAGCGGTAGGGAGGATGGGGATGGTGATGGGGATGAGGATGAGGATGGGGATGGTGGGGATGGTGGGGATGGTGAGGAAAGGGGTGGTCTTCCTCTTGCCCTGAACCCTCCTCGTTGCTTCTCGCGAAGCTCCTTCCCCTGACCCTCATCGCACCACCACCAGCAGCAGCGCCAGCACCTCGACCAGCCATGATGGTGCGTCGGTCTAGGCTAAGAACTTTACCAAACATGGCAGAAGACGGTGCGTCTGCCCACGCCTGCTGACTCTTCTCCCTCTGCTGCTGCCCCTGCAGCCCTTGCATACCTTGCACCCCTAGCTGCCCGTGCCAGTGCTGCTGGTAGCCGCCAGGAGCAGCAGCAATAGCAGCAGCAGCAGTGGTGTTGGTGTTGGTGGTAGAGCCTTTGAGCGCCAGTCGCCGCTCCAGGCTCATCACCTTCACAAACATGGCAGAGGAGGTCGGTGCAGCCCACACCTCCTCCTCCGCCTGCTGCCCCTGCTGCCCCTGTTTCTCAGCACCGCCTCCCCCACCCTGCTCTGCAGCGTCCCCCTGCTTCTCCTCTTGCCTCTCCCCTCGCCCTTGCTCGTTACTATACACACCTCCGTGCTCTCTACTCCCTCTTGAACCACCCTCCTCTTCCTCCTCCTCCCCATCCTCCTCCTCCCCTTCTCCCCCTCTCCCTCTCCCACGCCCCCTCCCTTCCCCCCCACTCTTCCGCCCTTCCCGTCCCTCCCCACCCTCCTCTTCCCGCGCACGTGCCCCCCCTTTGCCCTCTGCCCTCACACGGCGATCTGCTTTGCCCTGTGCAGCAGCAAGAAGGGGATCGGCCTGCTGCATGGCGCGCAGCAGCTGCTCCGAGAAAGCAGTGTCAGAAGACAGGCGCCTGCCCAAGGAGAACGCATTCGATGAACCACTGCCGCCACCGCCACCGCCACCGCCGCCGCCGCCGCCGCTGCTGGTGATGCTGTGGAGTTGGGAACCGGTGGTAGCAGCAGAAGCAGCAGGGGCAGCAGCGTCGCTCCCATGTGCCGCTGCTGCTGCTGCTGCTGCTGCTGCTCTGGGAGGGGAGCACGGGCGGGAGGAAGGCCGAGAGGCAGGGCGGGAGGGGGGGCGGGAGGAGGAGCGGCAGGCGGCAAGCAGCGTGGCAAGGGACGGCTTGTCTCCTGGCGTTGACGGCAATGATTCCCCTCCTGCCACTGCCGCACTCCTAGCCTTCTCACTCTCGGTGCTAGGCTTGCGAGATCGAACCCCTGCGGTTTTTCTGTCACTGGATACAGCTCGCTCCACCTTAGGTACCTTCCTTGTGCTGCTTCTGCTGCTGCTGCTGCTGCTGTTGTTGCTGTTGTTGCGGTTGCTCCCTTGGGCTGCCTCCTGCTCCTGCTGATCCTCATGCTCACGCTTGTGCTCCTCCTGATGCTCGTGCTTTTGCTTATGCTGATGCTTGTGTTTATGCTTACGCTCATGCTCATGCCCTGCTGCTTCCCGCCGGTGTGCCTTTACCTTCCTCTCTCCCGCTTTCCCTTCCCCTTCCTCCCCTGCTTCTCCCTTTCGGTGCCTCGCCTGTCTCTCCCCTACCTTCTTCTTCCTCCGCTTCTCTTCTCCTTCTCCCATCCCTCCTTCAAGCACCCGCTCCTTCCCCATTCTCCCTACCCCATCCCCTTCCTGCTCCCCCTTCACTACCCTCGCAGTACCCCTTTCAACTCCCTCATCTTCCTCAGATTCAGCTTTACTGTGGCCTCCATGCTTACCATGCCTGCTCTTCCTCCTACTCTTCCTCCCCTCCTCTCGCACCTGCTTCTCCTGATCTGGCTGCAATAAAGCCTCTTCCTCCCCCTCACACCCTCTTCCTGATCCTCCTCCTCCACCTCCTCCTCCACCTCCTCCTCCACCCCCTCCTCCTCCCCCACTCGCCATTCCTCTGGAACTCCCGTCCTCCTCCTCCTTCTCCTCGGTTTCCCCCTGCAGCCCCGCCTCTTCTCCCGCGTCTCCTATCGTCTCTCCATCTGCCTCTCTTCCCTCCTCCTTCTCTCCCACACTTTCTGTTTCACTCTCCTCCTCATTTTCGTCATCACTTCCATCCTCACTTCCTTGCTCTCTCCCGTACACTTTCAATATCACCTCCTCTCTCTCCTCACCCTCCTCTTCCTCCTCCTCATTCTCCTCCTCTTCCTCGCCCTCTTCCTCCTCTTTCTCTTCCATCTCTATTTCCGCTTCCTCTTTCGCATTCCTCTTTTTTTCCTCCTCTGCTTCCTTCTTCTCTTTCTCCTTCCTCTCTACTTCCCCCACCTCGTTTTCCTCCTCTTTTTCCTCCTCCTCCTCATTCCCCTCCTTCTCTTCCTCCTTTGCTTCGTCCTCCTCCTTTTGTTTCAAGAATCCTTTCTCTTTTTCCTTCTCTTTATCCTCCTCCCCCACTTGCACTCCCTCATCCACTGATTCACCCACTTGCACAACACCCCAACTGCTCCCCTCGTCTTTTTCCTCACCACCAACATTCAAATCGCCTGCCTTCGCTTCCCCTCCTTCCAAACCGCTTCCTTCCAAACCAGCTGCTTCCAAACCGAATCCTCCCGAACCGCCTCCTTCCGAACCGCCTCCTTCCAAACGTGTATGACCTGCTCTAGAATCGTCCTCACTCCTCACAACACTTTCCTCCACCTTTTCCTTCAAACCAGAACCACCGCCCAAAGTCAATCCCTTCCCCACATCTACCTCTGTTCTGGACAACTCTTCCCCAAATGCTCCTGCTTCTGTGCCCTTCCCCACATACTCCTCTCCTTCGTCTCTCCTCTCCTCTGGTGCTCGCATAATCCCCTCCAACCCCCTCTCGACCCCGCCCTCCGCACTCAATACTGCTGCCCTGGGCGTTTCTACCACAGCTGCTGCTGTGGCTGCTGTTGGCGACAGGTTTCTGGATGCTCCTCCTGGTGCTACAGCTGCTCCTGGTGCTGCAACTTCGCCTGCTGCTACATCTTCTCCTGTTACCTCAGCTGCTCCTGCTGCTGCAGCTGCTACTGACGGTTCAGCTCTTCCTGATGCTACAGATTCTCCTGCAGCTCCTGCTGCTCCTGCTGCTACCACTGCTACAACTTCGCCTGCTGCTACAGCTTTTCCAGGTGCCACAGATTCTTCTGCTGCTACAACCTTTCCTGTTACTGCAACTTCGCCTGCTGCTACAGCCTCTCCTGCTGATTCAGCCGTTTCTTTTGCTACAGCTGCTCCTGCTGACACAGCCTCTTCTGTTGCTACAGTTTCTCCTGTCGATACAGCTACTCCTGCTGCTACAGCTCCTCTTGCCGATTCAGCTGCTCCTGCTAACACTCCGTCCGCCTCCAAGCCCGTTGTCCCTGCTTCTTCCTCTCTCTCTTGCCCGAGCCTCTTTCCATCCCCCTCCCCACACACACCTGCCCTGCCCTCCCTCTCTCCCCCCTGCTCTAACCCCGCTGCCCCCTGCCCTCTCTCGCACTGCACATGTGCACCTGCACTGCAAGCCAGGTCGCATACACCTGAAACGGCTCTGCTGCAAGTGTGGCTAAGGCCAAGAGGAGAAGGAGCAGCGGCAGGGGTGGGAGGAGTGGGACTAGGAGGAGTGAGACAGGGACTAGAGGCCAGAAGAGGGGGACTATTGCCAGCGCCCGCGGTGCTACCGTCGCCAGAACCCCCGCTGCTGCTCGTCTCTCCCTTCCCCTCGCCCACGCCGCCACAACTCCCATTCACCATGTCCCCCTTAACAGCAGCCTCGAGTTCGTTACTATCACCCACAAAGAGGCCGCTGCCGCAGCTGCTGCTGCTGCTGCCACGTCGGCTGTGCCTGCGACCGCGACTGCTGCTAGATTTGCTGCGACCAGACGTCTCCTGCGCGCTTGCACCCGCCTGAACCAACCCCTCTCGCTCCTCCCGCTCCCCCTGCTGCTCCCCCCGCTCCCCCTGCCCCCCCTGCCCCTCATGTCCCGCCTGCTCCCCCCTACCTGACGCCTTACTGAAGTTCTGGTATACGTCTTTAAGCTGGGCTTTCGCTCGCGAGCCTCCTAACGACAGCACTCTGCTGAGAGTCCGTGGTGCCACTAACGAGGCCCCTCCCCACCTGCCGGACCTCCCCGCGCTGCCAGCCTCGCTAGAATCACACGCGGAGTCGTCTCCTTGGCTGCTGAGGCGTGCTCCGCGGTTCGGACTGTCGCTGCTCCTCCGCCTACCGCTGGCATCGGGAATACCGGAGATGCAGACCGATGGGGATAAACTGCGGGGAATGCGCAGATTCAGATCCTCGTCTGTCCTAAGATTCCTCGCTTTCTCCTCCTTCCTCTCGTCTGACTCCCCTTCCTTTTCTTCCCCTTCAGCTGTCGTTCCTCCTCCTCCTACTACTTCGCCCTCCTCGTTCCTGCCGCCCCCCTCCTCGTTCTTAGCGTCCTTCGCCTCCTCCTCCTCATCGTCGTCGTCGCTCTCCCCTTTTAGATGAGAAGGGGCGAACCCGCATAGAAGCATCTTTGCGGAATGAGACGAGAACGCCCCCCGCGCTAAACTCCTCGTGCTACCCCGCTTCTCGCGCACGCCATCGCCGCTCCGCGCGCTGTGCTCCGACTTCGCCCCTCCTTCCGCCAAGCCCGCATCGCTATCTACAGCTATGTCCCCGATATAGCTGCTCCCGTTACCGTTGTGAGGGCTTCCGTCCCCTTCCGCGCCCCTGTTGTGTATACTACCGCTGATACTCCCCCCACCCCCTGCCCTGCCTCCGCCTCCGCCTCCGCCAAAACATCCAATCGCCACCCCGCCGCTGCTCCGGCTACTGGAACTTTCACTATTGTCACTGCTGTTTAAGCTGGCGGCGCTTCCGTGCCGCGCAAACGACGAATCCGAGCTCATGGCCTTTACCTGCCAAAGGAGCTGATTGATGGTCCGTCGAAACGAAACGGAAACCTGGGGGAAGCAAACAACACGGGGATGATATCCCGATACTTTCTGCACTTGGGCTGCTGACGCAGATCTTCTAGAGCGGTGAGAGCGGGAACGTACGCGCAGAGATCGAATTGAACGAAATGCTTCAGAGGCGTTCAGTCGGTGCTGCTGGTGGGCGGAGCGATGAAGCCGTTGAGCAAATCTCAAGGTTTCTCTGATTCCGTTATTCGCAGCATCGTCCCCCCACAATGAATGCTGCCTGCGTTACTGCGGTACACTGCTGACGGATCCACCATCACATGTATCCTCCCAAGTCCCCACTCTCCAAATCTGCGGAATCCACTATTACGAGGCTCGGTGACTAGTCCGAAAGGCCGTGCTAATTTCAACCACTTCGTATATGGTCTGTAAAAAATGGTAATGTTCTCTACATAACCATCTATTCATTCCTTTTGTTATTTATGCGACGAGGTTTATTTATTTATACATTACCTGACAATTTTCATAACGCATATGTATTATTCCTAATATACAACATTTGTTGCTCATGTTCTAGTTTGGCTGTTTCATTGACTTCGTTTTCGCAACCCTGGCTGCCTTCGTGCACTCGTAACATTGTAAAGAGTACGGATCTAAGTCTGCTCCGCCCCTCGTCCGAGGTTTCAAATCTAGGGAAAAGATCATACAGGGGCCGAACAGTGCCAGAGAGGTGATCGACCAGGGGCCAAGAGGCCCGAAACTTACCAAACCACTGCGCGACGAGGGATTAACAGGGGGTCTTTGTTTATTGCACGTAATTATGCTACTAGTGGCATGTACCGGCTCGCATTTTCGCTCGCGTGTCGTTTAGCGAGCCGACTCTACCGGGAACTTTAGGGCAGCCAGAAAAAACTAAAACTCATAGGGAACCTGGATGTAATTTCGGGATGGATCAACCCTAAATAAGGGGCCCTCCCTGATATTTAGGGTTGATGCCTCCGAGTCGCATCCGTTTCCGAATGGGTAATATATTTTTTTTTCTTGTGCATTTCCGATCGGGTAGGTGATATGTATCACCTAGAATATATTATGTTGTTACGTACTCACGATTTCACACCCCGAATATTAATTCCAGAAGAAGGCGACGCGCGCGTTGTAGTAGACGGCGGTCAAAACCCTAAAAAAAACAATGAACTCGTTGTAGCAATTTTCTTTTACTCATGGTTCGGCTTGTTCGCCGATTGGTCAGCTCCGGGTTTAAATCCTACGGTCGAGATTTACCGGCCCTACTTTGAACACCCCTCTGGCACTGTTCGGCCCCAATATGATCTTTTCCCTCAAATCTACCAGGTCGTCGGCATTCTCGAGATTCCTCCGATTCCCTGCACATAACTACCCAAATACAGCATACGCAGCTAGTTGCAGCAGACCACAGTGCGTAGTGTGCGCGTTCGACAGACAGGGTTAAAGACGCGAGATGCTAACGACGACAGGTAAAGAGATCTGAATCCACTATACGCCCAAGGCAAAAAAAACGCTTGAGCCCCAAGGCTCAAGATCCGAGCTCTCGCATTGTGTGTGGAAATTGACACCACGGTCGTTCCTTGTAGCAGCGATGTCGCGTACGCTGTGGCAGGTTGTCGCTGTGGCACTGCCATCGTTCTTCTGACATAAAACTCCTTGTTCTTCAGAGGTTTGAGTCGACTCAAAACCCGTCCAGCTGGCAATCGGCGCTCGCATCGTCCCGCCGCCTCGCCTTCCGCTTTCCCAGCCAGCTCACGCGATTTTTTTCCGCGGGAGCGGGTCGGGGGAAAGCAGGCCGTAATCAGGGGAAAGGGCGCTAACCTGCGGAGATCATGGCGAAAGGTACGGT